ATCGTCACTTAGTGTTCACTGTCTTAATTCTACTCTGCCCCCAGCCCACTGGAACGAAGCTAATGTTTTGGCCCTTCGGTGAGTGTCGTTCATCGACCCCTAAATGATTTGGGTAAATGACACTGGGTAGCTTGGGGTCTTACAATGGCTGCGTATACCATAAAACTCCCCTTGGAAGACTACAGTCTCGGGATACTTCAGTCCCTCTTCGGAGCGTTCATCGTTCGATGCTCTGCTTGCACAATCAACGATATCTTTGATCGACATATGGACGCTGGCGTTGGTAAGTGTTCTTTCCATCGCTGTCACGGACCTACACTCACCCTCATCGCATCGTAGAGAGAACAAAAGGGCGGCCATTAGCCAGTGGCCGGATCACAGTTTCAAATGCGTTCATATTCGTTCTACTGCAATACGCGGTCGGGGCATTATTTTTCTACCTCACAGTTGACGGTTTTGCGTGAGTTGAACTCAGCTGTGCGGCGTGCCTCGACCTCAACTAAACCTTTATTCCCATGTTCTAGGCTTTGGGTGGCGCTATTTCAACTCCTACCAATGTGAGTAAACGGCAGTTCTTTGAATGGAAGTCCGGCAGTTCACACAATGTACTTCCTCCCAGGTTCGCTATCTATCCGCTATTAAAGCGAGTTACCTATTGGCCTCAGGCGTGGCTTGGCTTTGCCATGAACTTTGGCTTCATAACCGCATGGGTATCCACTGCGGGGACAGTAAACGCTCCTTTGTTTATTTCAGTTACAACAGGCTGCTGGTGGTAAGTCCTCGTTTTCTAACCCTGACGCCGTCGAATTGATCACATCCCGAATTTTTGCTGGATTCGACTCGTGTATCACAGCTGGACAATGCTTTACGGTAAGTCGTACCCTGGCTGCTGCCGCATTTTCTCCGTTCCCCGGCGCTGCATACTGACTTGTCCCTTGTATCATTGTTTGTTAGACACGATTTATGCTTGTCAAGACATCGAAGACGATGTTAAAATGGGAGTACGATCTACCGCCATTCTATTTGGCAGTTGGATTCGACCCCTCCTGATTGCGTGTGGGATCACCTTCCTTTTGATGGTTGGCTATGCCGGTATCCTCAACGAGCAAGGACTCCCCTTTTTTGTTATATCGGTGGGCGGAACATTCGCTCATCTGCTTTGGCAATACCGTACTGTCGACCTCACGGTACCATCAAGCTGTTGGCGTAAGTCATTTTTCGTACAAAATCTTCCCTGGGTGCTTCCCTCTCCGCTCCTGTGAAATTTGCGCTAAACGTGTTTCTCATTGATTTGTCCGTATACAGAAAATTTCATGAGTAATGGACAACTTGGCTGGATCGTTTGGGGAGGGCTTATGGCGGATTATGCGCTCCGGGATTTCGTCCTTGCAAATTACACATTACCATGGATTTCATAGATGCGTCTTGTACATATATATAGATGACTAGCACCACAATGCAGCGCACTAAGACTACTGTACTTTAATTGCGAGGGCTCGTAGAAACGAATGAAATGGTATGAGCCCTGTTGTCCTAAGTCCCTTGTTGTCTCTGATGCCATGATCATTCTCGCGATGGCAAGTGAGATGGCCAGCTAGACAGATGCATGCTAAGTGTACTGCCGCGGTGTTGTTCCGCTTATAGATTTTCTGCGAATCTCGGCGTCTTTTGCGTTCCGATCTCAGAGATGTTGTAAAGCATTGGCTGTGGAATTCGAGGCTCACGATACCGCGGGATCATTAATGTTCATCAAGCATATCAAAGCATCGTCTGCCAGTGCCAGAACCTATGAAAAATCAATCTTTGTCGGGATCTAATCAAGGGTTGAACTAAGACCATGACGAACACGACGTAGTACGGTGAACGAGGGTACAGCAGCAGCCTTGATATCTCGGTACCATCTGAATTCATCATTCAACGTTCTTCCATGTAGTCTCCCAACAGCAACTTCCAAGCACCTTCTGATGATCTTTCAATGTTGCTGTGATCGGTAGAACATAGCAAATGGTATGGTATGTATATGTAGGGGCGAGAAAAGGGCTCTGCACGACCCTCCTTCCACTACGTCTTTTTTGCCTCCCCCCCATGAACATTATACCGCACCGGCTGCTGTAAACGTTGATGTCACTCCTTCGTATGTTGTGAGTGCGCTCGAATCTTCTCTCGGTAGAGTATGAGTAAAAACTGACACATCAGCGACGAGGGGCCAGGATAATATCAACATACATTACACTCGTTGTCTGCTCTGGAAATACACTCACGTTGACGGCTGACCATCAACATCGGCGGGAAATAGATCCCAACCACCCTCGAGGCGGCGACACAAGAGAGTTTCCTAGGTACACCCTGGTTACCAAGGGTCTAAGCCTGAGGTGAGTTAAAATTAAGAGGGGAGCGGGAAACGAGGAGTGATAGAATGGTTAAAACCGAGCCTTTGCTGACAAGTGACGTTTTTTCCCTTTCGACCCTTTGCTCCGTATAGGAACGAATCCTCGGACATTCGTGAAGATGGCGCCCAGACTCTAAGACCTCGTGGGGATGACAAGGCCGACGGCATTGTTCCTCCAGCCCTGATTGTTGCGTGTGTTTTGGGGGCCATCCTCTTCCTCGTCACCTCGATCTCTCTAATCTATTGGTGGTTATCGCGAACTGGCCGATGGCCTCGCAAATCAACGGATCCCGAGTCTGAGTACCCCTTCTCCTCTCCAGAAGCAGTGGCCCATCCGACTTCTAGTATGAGCGCCAGCGCCAGTACCACATTCGTGGGTATAAGATCCCCGGAGTCCGAGCCTGACGAAATATACCCTATGAGACCGGTGGGGCTAGGTCTGAAGCTAAACTTTTCAACACCCTCGAGGCGCACCATTACTCCCGCTTCTGGATCCCAGAATCGAGCGTGGGATTCTCGAAATCCCTACTACACGCCACGACCGCGAAACAGTTCCCGGACCGGACGGAGAAAACACGAACATGCCGGTAGCAGTGTGTCGGGAAGCAGAGCATCAGCATCTACCTCGAACAGTCACGGTAGCAAGAGGAGTCGAAGCGCCCGAGCCATGAGGTCTTCTCGCCACCGGGACGACTCGAATTGCGGCGATACTACCGTTAGCTCTTCTGTAGCGGGAACCCAAACGGTGAGCAGCATCTCGTTTGCCCCGGCCACGGAGCGACAGATGGAGCTTGCCGAGCGTATTGAGGAGATGCAGGGCAAGCTAGCATTGTTCCAGCGAAACGCCCCCTCCGTTGATATCAAACTTGCCGGGTCCGGGTCTATCTCTATAGCAAAGATGACCCATGATCATCGGGTTCTGAAGTGGCAGAAGAGAATAGAGAAGCTTACTCAGTTAAAGGAGTCTGATTGGGCGTTGGGTCTGACTGATGAACTTCCTCCTGGACTGTACCAGGGCAAGGAGTCTGACGACCTGACGTAGCCAGTGTGAACCTCGGAGCAGGTCGACGTGGAGATCTATCAGAGATCTGTCCATTGAAGGCTATATTTCCTGTATTAGTGGACGATAAAATATACCCGGGACTATTACCTGACGATGCGGAACTTCCTCGAGAGCTTGACATTGTCATTGATATGATGGAGGAAAACGAGCTGTGTTGTGGATCGGGATACCTGTGTACGGGGCCGGTTCGGCCGAGGTAAAGGTGTGTCGCGGATATTGCCGAGCAACCACTGCGATAGTTGTCAGTGGCGTCGATCATCACTTTTATAAGATAGCTCACGTCTCTAACACCACAGCTAGATCAAAAAATCCCAGAGAGATCAGTTCAACTCGGTGAACTCAACCTGTGTTTATTCGCGTCGTTTCTCGTTCATGGTCGCAGTGAGGCCGTTCTTAGGTTTTTGTTGATGGTCCAGGAGTCGAATGACCGTGAAAGTCGTTGCAAGTTGAGTTCACGGTCCAAAGCGATGCTCCTCTTACAAAAACGGACAGATAGTCTATACCAGCCTACCCCTTGCACGGTTGCACTCCGAAATGAGCGCATGGCCGATGGTTAATCATCCCGGGCCGCAAACTTCAATCAGGAACCTGCCAAGCCTCATGCCATTTTGAGTGTCTAACTATCATTCATCGTAATGTGTTTATGACTATGACCAACACGGTCACTGGAGTCGAAAGAAGCCTAAAACTGGAGCGCTTGCAAAAGTATCACTGTACCAACCCAAAAGGTCGAATACAGCAGCACCTCGCGAATTACGATGATTTCAGCACCACACTGCTGAGTTCGGTCCGTATCTCAACGGTAAAGCACCTACATGGTAGAGATATCTGTGAGCAGATATCCCCTGTGTAATCAGCCTCACTGGTGCTGAGGAATGACCTCCGTGTCCGCGACCGCGGGCCGTAGACAGTAGTTGTCCAGTCTGTGCCGCCGTTCTCTAGCACCTCATTGCCTATCATCTAATTCATTTGGTGCTTGTTCAAGTGTATACAAGGGTCTTGAATCTGTTCCTTTACCCCTCGAAAGTGTGGATTTACATCGCCCCCAAGAACGACAAGAAGTGGTATGTCCCAATAAGCCATTCGTTGGGCTAGGACAGTCATGTTCAGTGTTCAGTCAGCAATATATTGAGTCTGAGAAGGATTATTGACTCATTTACGTCGTCGAATTCGGGGAGTTTTCAGAATTGAGGCCGGGATGCAACGCAAGTGCATACCGCCTTCCTGTGGACAATGATCCAGGAAATCTTCGGTGTAGTCGTGCAGCCACAAGTTGGGGAACCAATTATTAGGATAATCAGATTTGTTGCGAGTGTCTGCATTTGTGTAATAGCAGTGTTGATCCAGCGAGAGGCTGGCCCACGAGAAGAAGAAAACACCGGTATTTCAAAACTTGCGTAAAATTGAGTCCCACTGCCGTTATACACCCGGGAGGCTGGTATAAGTCGACGAATGTTCGATAGTCCAGCGTATATAGTCGCGAGGTCCCTCGTGAGTTGTACTGACAAAGAGAATAAAAAAGTTATGAACTTCGAAGCGAGGTGAAAATTCCGTTACAGGGAATTGAACCCTGCAAAGAAGCATGGGAGGCAATAATGTTAGCCACTACACCATAACGGAGATATGTTGGAATAAATGACCAGAGAGCATCATTGTAAATGGGAGGTCTTCATCCTAAGTAATAATAACCCCATTCTGAGCTCGGGGGAAAAAAAGATGAAGGGAATTCTAATCTCTTGCTTCAAAGTCTACCTAATCATATTCATGGGCCATGGCCTATGAACACTGGAGGGGGAGGGGCAAAGAGGGAAGGTTCCATTTGGACAACGTCGAATGACCTATCTTCCAGCCCCTCCTGGCCCACGATAATCGACACTCGATGACGGTCTTCAGGCTTCCGCCAGTTCACCCGAATTCCTGAGAAAATTAAATCTCATAAGTACGTACATTGATCATCTGGCTTGAGTTACGAATGAATGAGTTGTTATCGAGTGGTCTGCGAGTGTCAGAAGTCTAGAGCTGGATTTGTGGCGCATGTAGTATTTTCGCGCACTCGACTGCTCGTTGTCTCCTACAGTTATCACCATCTTCCTGTTGGCTTGTACCTATGGGTCAAGGGCTCGATGGTCATGAGAAACATTTGAGTATGTATTGGTTATTCCGGAATCGCATAACATCATGCTTGATTTGGCACTTAAGGTTTGCCCTGCTCATACACGCTCAGGCATCACCGACACGAGGCTTGTCGCCGATCGCGACGTCGACCGCACAAGGTAAATTCAACGTACTTTCATATTCACTAGTAGCCCGCGTTTCACCATTCCCGGTCGACGTCGGTCATTCGTATCCATTCCAGGAAGTCGAAGAGATTACTTGGAGACGATCCCTGACAATGAAAGGATCGCCATCGCGCTCAGAGCCCTCGACTCGGGAGGAGAAATATTCATGCGGCGTAAGGACTCCGCGTTTCACCGGACCCTTACTCACCGAACATGCTTCGTCGCCAGGTCGAGTGAGCTCCAATCGACCTTGGGCTCGACGAGTCCCGACCCAAGTGGAGGATTGTGAGTTCTTCTGGTCTCTCGATCAGCCTTACGCGAACCGCGATAGGCCCTTCGAAGTGGAGTCTGGAAGAGAAAAAAAAAACCCAAGACCATGTAAGCACGTATGTAAATCATTGCAGTGACACTGACACTTGAGTTGAAATCTACTTATTTAATGATCGCCTTTGCTATGTTCTGACGTCTGCCCAGGTGTCGCTGTCTTCAACTCATAAATTGATTGCCACGGTTGCTTTGGCCTGAGCAACTCGTGTTGCTAACCCTGAACATGTGGCGCGTAGTCGTGTAGAGGACGAAATTAAGATGGATGGGGTATGGATTTATGGGTCTATGATATGTTCATGTTTAACTTGGATCTGATACCACCGTCTCCTTTTCTTACTCAACCTGCAGAGGCGAGACTCTTCACCCTTTTTCACCCTTCTTCACCCCTGTAAGTTGTGGGAGCCCGATCTTTTCTCGGACTTCGTCATTCCTTGCTAGCAAGTTTCCGGTGAAATGAAGTTAAGCGACGTTGACAGCTGTCCCAATAATTGTAGAAAGTTTTGCGGTTTTTCGTGCTCAGGATTTTTGTTTAGTGAACAAACAGAATATGACCTGATTTGGTATGGTCGCGGTACTAGAGGATGTCAGGCCCCACCAGCACCCATGGAGCTCATTCAGTTTGCATTTAGTAGGGAATCACATTGTGTTTGTACACTAAACAAAGATTCTGAACACGAAAAAACGCAAACCTTTCTACAATTATTGGGACAGCTGGAACGCTGAATCCCGTCGAATCTCTACTGTATTCACTTGAAATACGCTTATGTACTGCAACAGGTCGTTGGTTGCCGGACCCTGCATGTGGTTACGGTCGTCCTCCACAATTTTGCTTGCGCCCCCTCGTGGGTTAGAATTAATAACACGAGACATAGGGGGTGGGGAGAAAGTTCCACCTTGATTGATTGTGTCGAACCTGAGTGTTGGGTCGATGTTGCTGCTTGCGTTGTTAATTTACTTCAACTTCGGGTCTGTTTTCTTTAAGGTTTGGACGAGTCCCTGGGACTCGAATACCGCTTCAGGTAATTGGACTGAGGACGTCATGTTCTGTCAAGCGTCGGGATCTTGGAAAACTTGACTCTCGAAGACCCAAAATGGTAAGGTCCAGAATTCGGATGTTCTGATATTGATTTCATGAGCCAGTCATTTCGAAAACAGACCTGGGAGTGAACGTGGTCCGATTGAGTCGAATTTTCAAAATCAACACTGTGAATCGGAAATCGCAGCACCCGGCAACGAGTAGCACAGAACAAGGTTTAGGTGGGAACAAGAAGCCTCGCACAGTTGTGTCTTGATAATATGTCGGAAGTTCTTTGAGATCTTATCGCAAAGTCGGTCCTACAGCCGTGAGCTTCATCTCGGACCGTACAGAACTTGGCGTTGCGTAACATCGGGTCTCGAGCCCGAAAAAATTCGTCAGGGAGCTCGTTCAAGCTCACAAGCTCTAGCAGAGATGTTTCCACTGCACCAGAGCGCCTCTAAAGGTGCGAAACCTCGATGTTGGTCTTTCTTGAAGATTTCAGGTCTATGTCTGGGTTCACTTTCCGTCACAGTAGAAAAGTTGTCGTGAGGGAACTGATGGGAGCCCGGTCCGAGTCCATCGAGACTATGACTTGGCCACAGCAAAGCCACAGAAGTACCACAAGGTTTCGAATCCACACAGGAATATTTCGTAGACCGTGGAGTGCGGAGAGAAAAGCCTCACAACGAGGGGTCCAGATGTCTAGTGTTCTGACGCTGAACCCAACCTCCGACTACGGTGCAATTGTCGCAAGTCCGACGAGTCGAATTTCAGGCTTGAGTAGTATCGGAAGTTTTCGCCGGTACAAAAAGCAATCAAACATTTTTGCTGGACGTAGTACTGTACGTATAGGCCTCTCTTCCATCAGTAACATGCCAAAGCACACTCGAGTAAACGACACGGTCCTGATTGCCCGGTGGTTGGACCTCAGTGTTGGGCAGACGACATCCTCCGGCCACCCTCGGGAGGTGGATCAATAATAGACGCGAAGCTTTGGAGTTTTCGTTTTCGAGATGAAAATGACCCTCCAAGTCCAGAGTTCGAATTCCTCCCTCCGATGCCACAACTTCGGCGGTTATAACCATACAGGGTGAGATCAGCGCCAAACGTCGAGTAAGTGCGAGTTTAACTAGTGTTCCGATCATGAGAGACCTTGGGTGCCATATCGAGCAGAAACCTGCTTACGAAGAGGCAACTCGGAAGAGCACGGAAGAGACGTCGACTCGGAATATTCAATCTTTAACCTTTAGGCGCCGATTTTCTTTCCCCCCAGACAATCGCGGAAGAAGTCGTGAAATTTGTAAGCCGGCAGTGGAAGTACCAACTTTGGCACAGGCACAGAAAACGTAGTCGTGGAGATAGGCATGATGCATCCGACTAGACACCGGACATTGGGTACCGGACCGAGCCCTCGACTCCCTTGAGAGGAGGGCTTTGTCGACCGTCGAAAGCAGTAATTGTGGTCGCCCTCGAAAAGCCCAACTTCCAACTTATACGTTCGTCGTCATCGACACCTTGCTCTCCGTTCAGTTCAGCATCTCTTCAAGCTGTATCCGAAAGATATGAAAGCTCTACAACGCAAATAGACGTTATCCGACGGGTATCTGAAGAATTCGAGCTTGCTACTCCAATAGTTCAGGCCTCAGTCAAAACTACAGTGTTTTGCGAACACTAGGCATCGCGACGAGGTATTACTGGGGGAAATACACGGGGGGCCACCAAAGGACACCTTCAGGCTGGGTACTTTCCGAGCAGTGCCTGATTGTTGAGAGACTCCCACAAGGTTCGAACTTCGAACTGCTCTGTTGTCTTGCGACTCAGCAAGCCACTCAGGAATGTTCGGACCTTGAGTTCGCCGGGTGGTACGATTTGCCCCGAAGGTATCCGTCAACCAACACGGGGACCACTCGCAATTGTTGGAACTGTCACTTTGTTCGGACTGTCGAGCTACGTCCATTCCTTGTGCATGTAAATGGAGATTTCGTGATTAACATGGTGGTGAACAGGACGTACAAGATAGAACTCGCATTCTATTCCTCATATTTTGACCTTATGCACTCTTTCTACCATACGCATACGGGCTTAACGAGCAATCCTTGAACGTTGCAGCTGATTAATAATTCCGCACTCTTTTGTAGTGGCGCGTTCAAGTTCCGTGTTTCAACGTCTAGTTACAATTCCTATAAGACTCTTGTGGCTGTTTGGCTTCGACTGAATTGAGAATTAAGCAACGGTGACTGAAATCTCAAGTCTTTTGCAAGTGGACCGCAGAGAGTCGCGTTCGTGTGCCCCTAATTTCTAAGTATCCGGGGTACCGGTCCGAGTAGTTTAGACGCGCGCTAATTTCCAGCCGAACGATCACATGACCGCCGCGTCTCACAAACGTGACATGTTTGGTTTATTGTCCGCAACGTTTTTCCCTTTTACCACCACCACGATCTCCGTCGTTGGGCCATAACACAAGCAATATGGCCTCTACACCTTCATCACCCGACTACACGCAAATAGGTCGTTTTGGGACCATCTCGCTCCTTAAAGCCACTACGAAAGACGTGGTCACGTCGTTTGGAATCGACACGGAGAAACTGACGTTTGGGAGGGATAAGGAATGTAGTATTAGATTGTTTTATGAGGATGTTAGTGGGGTGCACTGTAGAGTCGAGTTTAGGGAGCGAAAGGTACGTAATTTTGGCTTTGTTTTTTTCTTTATGTTTTTGGGACTAACTTTTTTTGTTGCGGTGTAGGCATTCTTGGTCGTGTTGGGCACGACTGGTCTGATTATTGACGGGTGCAAGGCATATCCGACACCCAGTACAGGCTCTCCAACGACAATCCCATTACTTAATGAGTCGGTTATCGAGATACATGGGAAACGGTTCAGGTTCACCTACCCGCCGAAGGAAATGAGAGCTCAGTTGTATGATACTCCTCCTCGTGAGTGACCCTTATTTCTGTTTCTGTTTTGCTTTGGACTTACAGGTTGTAGAACAAACTAG